AAAACAGAATAATTATTATTGAAGTGGCTTAATTTTCATCCATTACCTACTCAGTGACTTGTTCCTAGCTGGACGTCTCCCGCAGTCGTTCACAAAACAGCCTCGGTAAGATAAACAAAGTTCCAACGTCAAGGACACATAGATTGTATGTCTGCCATTTAATCCCTACGTCGCCATGTTCAGGCTCAATCCGATTCACCTGGCACCGACTACACTTACTTAGTCATTCCTCATTAATTTACGACTTTTGGACTTGATGGGAGCTCTCTCACATGCGAAAACGCTCTCTGGTCAGCTCTAATTGCAAATGGTGGGATTCTTGACATGATATGGCCGGTCTGGCGATTGAGAATCGAGGCTATTCGCACCCGAAAAATGGTCGATGAACCCTAGAAACTGCCACTCTCCTCGGCTGATGGGAAATCAAAAACTTATAGAAATAGAAAGCTGAAGAGAAATTTGGTAGCTTCAAATCATTTTAGAGGGCTGGGCAACGTATTCGACTTCAGTTGATAACCACGAGCTCAACTGAATATGTGTAGCCCTAAAAACACGTGAAACAGCCATTAATCAATCCTGGGCACTGATAACCGTGGAAAGGCATCCGAAGATATCCCTGTGTAGAAGTGAGACCAGAGTCATCCAGCTTAGGCGACCATCTTTCAAATTGCTTCACAGGCCTCAGAGCTGGCCCCAGAACGCAGGGGGGGTGCTCTCCCAACGACGATCGAAAACGACACCTCCCCTCCCTCCAGTGACAAATATGACTCAAAAATCCTCTCCATTGCAGAAGTCCTAGTCCTAGACAAAGATTCCTCCGAATCCCCCCTTTCTGCGAGGTTGCTGGCGCACAACTCTGGGTTATCGCCCTACGTTCGGGAATTCCCTGCGGATTGGGGGAGAGGGGGCGGGGTCATATTTGTCGCTGGAGGGAGGGGAGGAATCGTATTTGGTCGTCGTTGGGAGAGCACCCCCCCCCTCTCACTCGCGTTCGACAGCAAACTATTGAGAAATACCTGCAAATCTTGAATACTGCCGGGGAAATTACGGTAAAAGCGGTGGGAAGCTTGAGAAAAGTTTCCAGAGTAGGTGGGGAGGCTGGAGAAGACAGGGTTGTAGCAGAATAGGTAGGGAGGCTGGAGAAAATAGGGTTGTAGCAGGGAACGGAGGGTGTAGCTTCCGAAAATTTTCCCCAGCGGCAGGACGTGCCCTAGTCACGATTCAGCCGAACAAGTCTGGCACCAACAAATTGTCTCTAATGAGTTTAGAGGTTCTGCTGGCCTCGTTGCCCTTCATGCGCCCTGAAAATGCCATACAGCAGATTTTGATAAGATTATTTCACCCCAAATAACTTCTGAACTTATTATTACTATTCGACGAGAGTTCAAGAACCCTCGGAACCCGAGATCAACGGCATTTCGGTGAAAGTTCAAGATTCCGCCGGTTACTGAGAAAAGAATGAATAGAGGAATTTGCAGCTGACTGGCGATGAAACGCAAATGTCACATATCATTTATTTTTAGGAACTCAACGGAGGTAGTGCACCGTGATGACATTTCCTTAATAGCAAGTTCCATTGTATTACTTCCCGCAGCATGCTAATAATGGCACTTTTTACGCATAATGTGGATAAATCGGGATAATGTGGATCAAATATTAGCTCGTACTATTATACTTATCGGAACCCGGACAGACTTAGTGACTCTCGTGTGAAG